ACGTTAGGCACACCCTCTGTTATCACAGTCATGTGATAAGTGGAAAAACAGGAAATTTCCACACTCAGTGTCTCTATATAAAAGAGACAAGAGCAGCTTTTATCTAGGGAGACGTTATTTACATTGAGGAGACATGGCACAGCGAACGATTCAGCTGGATCAAGAAAAATTGAGCTGTTCCATCTGTCTGCAACTTTTAAAGCATCCAGTCACTATTCCCTGTGGGCACAGCTACTGCATGGACTGTATCAAAAACTACTGGGATGAGAAGGAAACACACAGCTGCCCTCAGTGCAGAGAGATTTTCACACCGCGGCCTGTTCTGGTGAAGAACACCATGTTAGCTGAGTTAGTGGAGGACCTAAAGAAAGTAGAACATCTGACAGCTTCACCTGATCATGCCTATCCTGGACCTGGAGATGTGGCCTGTTCTGGGAGGAAGCGGAAAGCCTCCAAGTCCTGCCTGATGTGTATGGCCTTTTACTGTGAGCATCACCTGCAGCCTCACTACAACGTAGCTCCAATAAAGAGACACAAGATCATTAAAGCCACTTCAAAGCTTCGGGAGAACATCTGCCCTCGCCACGATGAGGAGATGAAGATCTTCTGCTGCACTGATCAGCAGTGTGTCTGTTGTCTCTGCTTAATGGATGAACACAAAGACCATGTCACAGTGTCGCCTGCAGTGGAAAGAGCTGAGAAGCAGAAAAGGCTTGGAAGAAATCGACAAAAATTTCTTCAAAGAATTCAGGAAAGAGAGAAAGATGTGAAGATGCTTCGTCGAAGAGGGGAGGCTATCAATCTTTCTGCTGATAAAGCTTTCAGAGAATGTGATAAGGCTTTCAAAGATTTGATCAGTCTCATTGAGAAAAAAAACTCTGAAGGGAAGCAGAAGATCAGATCCAAACAAAAAGCCGAACAGGACAGAGTCAAAGAGCTTCAGGACAAAATAGAGCAGGAGATCAGAGATCTGAGGAGGAGAGACACTGCACTGCAGCAGCTCTCACTGACAGAGGATCACCTCCATTTTCTGAAAAACTACTCCTCACTGTCACATCTGAGTGCATCTACAAACGTACCCACCTACAACAATCTTACTCTGCAGTACTTTGAGGATGTGACTCCATCTGTGTCACGGACCAGAGATAAAGTGAAGGCTCT